GATTAGATATCCTTCTACATGTCCTTTGTATGACGCACTGATTTATTTTTATTTATATTGTTACATTTAATATTTAAGTTAATATTTTGACATTTTATTTAGCAAATTATTTTAAAAATTGCTAAATATTTTAATTTTAAAGTTAATAAAAGTTATAAAGTTATTTTTAAAACCAGAATTGTGTCTTCAGTCACTATTTACTAGTGTAAGTTAAAGGGACAAATTGGAAACCATAACAACTTCATCTACATTAAGTGGTTATGGTGCCTTATGGTGCGAGAAGGCCCATTGGACAAATATTACCTCAATGAGTTAAACTGTTCTCGAACGTGTAAAAGTTATCTATTGTAATGAAGTGATCCCCCCCCACCAGCGCAGCATTTGACTTCTGAAATGTCAGTTTTAGTAAGCACAGAATGTTGCCCGCAGGGTGCCGCTGAGTGGTTAAGAGCAGTCATCTGATGCTCTCAGTCGATCAGTGACTTCCCATTCAAAACTGTTTTGCAGAGGGTATGTTTCTTTGCTAGTCAGTTTTGGGAATGGGGATTGGGAGAGATTCTCACTCTACGCTTTCTGAAACTGACATTTCTGAAGCAAGATGCCACACTGGGATCAGTGCTGGAGGCAACTACGAGGTTTAACAGGTTTAACCCCGTGAGGCAAGATTGTGCCAGGTGACAGCATTGAGATGGAACGCCCCCTTTAATAGAACATACCACTACTGAAAATGATTCCATTAGGAATAATGCACAATTTACATTGAAGTCACAGAGCATTATATATCCTCCAGTTTGTGCTGTATTTTAAGTCTATACAAACTCTTTCTTTTAAAGAAAACATGTTTTTATTATATACAAATTATATTTTTTTATTTATGCAAAACTATTTGAAGTGTTAATAAATAAATACAATACATATGAATATTTAAATATAACAATGAAACGTGAATACTAATTTCTCAACAAAAAAAAACTTGAATTATTGATAAAATAATAATCAATGATGCATCTGTGACACACATACCTGCAACTGTGTTCCCAAAAGGGTCACTCCACCTCCTTCTGTAAAACTCCGCGATCTGTATTCAAAATAAAAGTTGTATTTTAGTTCTCCAAATCACGTTTTACTGCAGTCATAACAAGTTTGTATGTTTGTATATTGATGTAATTATACAGTTACTCCGAGTACTATGAACACTATATCCAACTGTGCTGGTATTTGATGTCAGGATTACCATGGCGCCATTCCCTGGGTTTGGGATTAAACTTTTTAACAATGCTCCCGTACCTATTTTAAAAACTAGTGATAGGGATAAAAATAACCCAAGAATATGTTTAGGGGAAACCAAATTGTTAAATACAAAACCACCAAATGATACCGCACTCAAGAAAGAAAGTATATATGAATATAAATTTATTGCTACAACTTAATAACATTGGAAATAGTACTCATCTATCCTGTGTAAAGACACCAAAGGTATGATGATAGTCCTATTCAGTGGTTTGCCCACCACTATAAAAGTGTAGCGACAGAGTATAAAACGCTTAATGTCAGATCACCAAAAAATGTAGTCTACCTATACACAGCTCACGTACAAGAAAGAAGGTACAAAGCTTGATAATTAGAGTGCAACACAGAATATATACAACATATATACAAAATATACAATACTGCCTGTCAATGATCTTCTGTTAAGAATAGGATACTCTGAGACAAAAAAAGAGGTATATAGATAATGTAATGGGGAAAAAAAGAGGGAAAAATGAGAATACCTCAAGAGGATATATTGAGAATAGGAATCCGGGTGTACAGTCACGCGGAAATCGTATCTTAAATAGCCACACAAGGTTTTACCCACATATTGAGTAAAAACTTAATTAGGAAGGTTAAAATAATCAATATCTTTATTGTATATGTTAGACTAAACAAAAAAACATGAAGAAAAAATAAATAAATGAGTGTAAACAAACTGCTAGTGACTTAAAAAGAAAAGGAAAAATACAGTCTATGATAGCCCCATAAATCTTGTAGATAGCTATTGTAGAGGTAGCAAAAAAGTAGCTTATATATCTAAACTGGCATGCTGTATGAGGTGTCAGTATTGAGAAAATCGATATTTTGCAAAAGAGAATTTTGTTTCCGTCCAGGTTAACAGGTTAAATTTAAGCAGCTTAGAAATACGAGTAGATGGGAGCAGATGGCTATACGGGATTTTAACAAATATATACGGAGCAGTAAAAAATAACTCATTATCTTGTTAGGAGTCCAAAGCGCAATATATATGAATACAAGATGCAAAAGGGTTAACTGTTTTGAAGAGGAAAAAGTTGCCCTTTAAATAAGCCTTCAGTATGGATTTAATATAGATATACTTTGTAAGGTATGAAGAAGAGACCAAAGTTCCTTGCAGTAAATCCTATATTGAAGGTATAGATAGCGACGATACCTTTAAGTAGCCTTCTAATAAGAATCTTATATAGATGCAGTATCTAGGGTATTAGCAGCATATAACTTAGATAGATACATCCCAAGTGAGGAAGAAGATCCGGCTGTCGGGTACTCGTGCTCAATCACGAGTACCCGAGGGATCGCCAGGAAAAGCGCGGGACCGCTAGAGGGGACTACGCGGTCCCGGAGCCCGGGAGGTCGGAGGGGGTGAGACTGTCAGCCTCCATCCGACCCCGGGTGGCACAAATACAGCCCACCATAGAGGGGCAAAAGGAACATAGAGTATCTGAGGGATAGCCGAGGGGGTAGAAAACACAGGTATAGTAAGGGCGAATCCCCCCAAAAAGAAATATAAGTCATTGCTAGCTGACATAGCAATTACAAAGATGGCTATCAGATAAGAAAGCAGGCAGATGATTAATAGGGTATCTGCCATGAAATGACATGAAGACCTTACAGCGAGGCATGCTATGTGTGTAGGAATAAAGCTACAGAAAATTATTATGTTCCCAGACAGATAAATCTAAATTACTGCAAATAAACAAATCAATCCCAAAGCCACCCACTATAAGCAGGAGGCAGTGGTACTCTGACCTGTACTGACTGCGGAGCAGCAAAGAAAGAGGCAATGATGTATGGGGAGGGGAGTTTTATAGTAACTAACTTTTTTCTGATTGGTTGTTTTTCTGTGCTGCTGTGGAGTTCTAGTAAAGAGAGACTAAAGCAAATACGAAACCTCCTGTCATGTTATAAAATTCAAGCTGCTAAGAGTCTGCAATCGGGTATGGATAAAATTAGGCTATCATAGATTCCCTTTTAAAGTTAAAAGAAAGTCTAACGACAGCGTCTGCTCAAATCGCCTTTCGGCGCTAAATTGCGCCTTTCTCAAGAGCGTAGACTGTTATGGAGCCTGCCGGATGTTTTAAAGGAAAAAGGACCGCCCCTCAGATTACGTCATTTGGCCAGTACAGTGCCGCAATGTCATGGTGGGAGGGGGTAATGAATTGCATGTGTCCTGCCTTCGATTATATCAAAATAAAAATAAAAAAGAGCAAAATGTGTAAAAATTTATATAAAAAAATGAAAAAAATAATCTATATAAGAAAAATAAAATTCTGAGATAAAGTCATGGTTTGATCTCACCCCAAGATAGTCTGGGAGGCCTCCTGGTGAGTTGTAGATTGTAATATCTGGCTGTTTAGTTGAATAAGTCTTTTATATATATAGTCTTGGGCCAAATGCTCGCCACAATAATATATGTCTATATTATTGAAAAGTACTAATACACAATCTGACGTTCTTTATAAAAAATAAGCATTTATTCTACTTCAATAGCAAACATAGAATATACTTAACAGATGGTATTTCTTAACGAAGTTACAGAGAGTCTTCTTTGTATCAGCAACTCAGGATATCAGAGAGGAGAACAAAACGGATCGTAGCAGAAAGAGCAAGAGAGCGTGGTCCTTTGTCCTCTGCCCTTTATAGCCCAAATTACGTCATAACGTTTAGTTTAGACTAGCCATATAAGGAAATTCCCCATATAAAGACCACCCCAAATTCCAGAGACCTCATGGTACAGAATAGCAAACACCATCTGTTCTGTTTAACCCATTAGACAGCCACACCTTAATATGTATTTGAATAGGAACATATAGAATATGCAATATTCTACATTTCCCTCTGTTTATGGTTTATTTATAAACCATAACAAAATGTTATTTACCTGTCCATTCATACATCATTCGTATCACATTTCATATCACAGTCGTTGGGTATAAGAAGAGATGTGTTCATAGCTACCCAGTATCTGAGATTCCTTGGAAGTATTGATTATTACCCTGTTTACAGTTTTTTTTAGTGTATTCTCCTTCTGTTTAACCTTTTCATTTATGAGTATATACAGTTTTCTAATTCTACATTGCATAATTACTTGTACAACAATACATATTATAGATACACATACAACAATAATAAATGGATGAAATAAAATATTTACAATTGCTGATCCTACAGATGATTTAGCAAGTGTGTTTGTACTTTTAGTTATGTCCTTCCACCAAGAGGAACTAGAAACAATTGACCATTCATGTTCTATCACCTTTAATTTACCCTGTTCATGTTCAAATTGAATTTCTGTTTCTTTCAACTGTTTTTGTAACGAATATAATAATATCTTGTCTTTCCTAATCTCATCTGCCCACTTTCTCCATGGAAACTCATTTGTTTGTGAAACATTTAATTGAATAGGCATGATATCTATCTCTTGTATAGGACTCTTCGATATATTAACTTGAGTTCCTTGTATATGTATTATGAGTGGACCCCCATTGATACAATATAAACCTTTCTGTAATGTTTCTGACTGTGTACATTATGAAAATGTAGCTCTTACTAACTCATTATTTGACATAACCTGTACACATAGAAACATAGAAACATAGAATGTGACGGCAGATAAGAACCATTCGGCCCATCTAGTCTGCCCAATTTCCTAAATACTTTCATTAGTCCCTAGTCTTATCTTATAGTTAGGATAGCCTTATGCCTATCCCACGCATGCTTAAACTCCTTTACGGTGTTAACCTCTACCACTTCAGCTGGGAGGCTATTCCATGCATCCACTACCCTCTCAGTAAAGTAATACTTCCTGATATTATTTTTAATCCTTTGTCCTTCTAATTTAAGACTATGTCCGCTTGTTGTGGTAGTTTTTCTTCTTTTAAATATAGTCTCCTCCTTTACTGTGTTGATTCCCTTTATGTATTTAAATGTTTCTATCAAATCCCCCCTGTCTCGTCTTTCCTCCAAGCTATACATGTTAAGATCCTTTAACCTTTCCTTGTAAGTTTTATCCTGAAATCCATGAACCTCATGGTACACATACTTTGTCTTTTTCTATGGGAGTTACAATTTCATGAGGATTTTTAACTGTTTTAATTTTACCGGAACATGAACTTTGGTTATGAAAACATGAATGATAAATGGTTTCAACTTGGTTATTTAAACATATTATTTTGGATGCAAAATGTAGACAACTAAAAAGATCTACCTGCTCAAGTTCAGTAATGTTATTATAAGATACAAAATCAGGATATTGTAATTTATAAAATAATAATTGTGTGTTACTAATTGGAATTCCTAATACCGACATTGAAAATAGTGTTTTTTCAATACCAGAAATTGGTATTAAAGAAGAACTTATACATATATCATTGTTACATCCCAACCATTTGTTAACCCATAAATCTGTATGATTTTTAGCGAACGCAAACTCCTCAGGTAAACTACGTTTGAGTTCTATAGGAGTAACACCACCTTGTAATGCTTGTGCCATCACCTTAAAGTCTGTAGAATATTCAACTTGTATCTCTAAACAAGCTTTGGCTACCTGAGATGAATCTGCATTTCTCATTAAAGCCAAAGTAGCTTCCTGTAAATGTTGAACAGAGGGTGCAATAACAGAGGCTGAGTTCATAACCATATTTTTCAATATTTGATTTAAACCTCTTTGAATATGCAATCCTTTTCCCCCTATTAACCCTACAGTTCCCAAATCATTCTTTAATGTTTGAATATCCATAGAATTAGTGATACTTCCTATAGTACCAAATCCAGCCATAATTCCTTCTACTATATCTCTTTTTTTCTGTTTAATACTTTACTTCCTCCAAACCAATGTTCTAAGCCTCGTTCCATATTTAATAAATGTTCCTTACATTGTGGAAATTTACTTGAGATTTTCCACTGAGAAACATTAAAATGCCAAACTATTGTTGCAAATTTCCCATCTAATAACAAAGGCTTTGATTGAAAATGATTCAATTGAAAGGGACTTAATAACTTAAAAACCTTATTTTTGCATTCTACCATTCTGGGAGAGAATACATTTACCTTAACATCACCACATCTCTCGTGATGATTTCTTAACATTATACAACATTGATAGTTTCCACTATCACTGTAGGTAGGATTGTCTAAATAGAAAACAAACATTTCTTCTGACCAATCCACCTTTCCTAGTACACCTCTGTGAATAACCTTTGGTGTTGTACGTGACATACTACCAAAAAACATTCCTTCCCTTTTCCATGTCATTACAGACTCAGGGGGTAAACTTATATGTGTACTACATGTTAATCTAAGTCTTTCCTTTCCTTCCTGGATATCTACAAGACTAGGCTTCATTATAATATCTCGCATAACATGATCAGTTACCAAAAACATCATGTTAACTCTTACTGTCAATGATTCCCTAGATGCTCGTATTTCCCATATCCAAGGTATACCTGGAGTATTGTTTTTTAAGAGGAATTCTGGCTCTAAATGTATAAGCCAATATTGAATTGTATAAAGTACCTCACCACCTTGTCCTCGTGTTGTTACTGAAGTTTGTGCAACGTTCACATACATGTCACCTAACCAATTTACCATTTCCTCTCCATTAACTACAATCATAATATATGCATTTTGTAATATGTTAAGTTCCCATGATCCCGTTTTTACATTGTCTTGTACAAATGAACCTTTGGTCCAACTAAATAAATCATTAGGACCTATTGTAATTTTTAAATTAATAACACTATCTCCTGTGAAATTAATTCGCACATTGCATACTTGTAGATAGCCATCTTTTGTCCCGAAACAAACATGACCTTTCAATACTTGTTCATTGTCTCTCTTTTTTCTAATATTTCCCATTAATTCATTCTTTATTTCCTGATTGACAGTCGTTTTGTTCATCTTAAAAATAACTATTACAAGAACTGTAGTCATCAATGTTAGCTGACGAACACCTTCTTTTTGCTACACGGTTGTCTTTGCGAACACATCATCTGTCACCGGCCAACTTTCGTCTGTAGGTCTGCTTACAAATTATCTAAAATAAACTAAGAAAAACAAAGCAGTATCAATATATTATCAGATTATGTTGTAGGTTTATACAACTTGCACTGATCTACATGAACCCAAAAACAATTTTGCCTCCGTTTATTCCGTGAACCATCAAGAGGTCTTTGCACGTGTACCATTGTTTATCCCATTGTATCTGTTATGTTATAAGGACCTTCCCAGTTTGCCTCCCAAGGTCCAGTTTTCCTAAAAGTTTTTATCATGACCATACCCCCCTTTAAAAACTTTGAAAAATCAGGAGGTGCCATTTTGCACATACGAGTAGCTGCATGTGGAAGAATTTGCTCCAAATTTTCCTGCAGCATTTGCAACCATTTATTTTTAGCAATTGCATCTTTCTGTGGGGTAGACAAATATGGTTCATTAGGAAAATTCAACTGCATTTTCCTACCTGTCATCAATTCAAATGGAGTGTATTGTGTAGCTGAAGACATAGTGCCTCTAATACCCATAAGTACAGCAGGAAGTGCCTGTACCCATGTGTTGCCTTTCTCAAGTAACATTTTTGAAAGTCTAGATTTCAATGTTCGATTCATACGTTCCACAATCCCAGCAGATTGTGGATGATATGGAACATGAAATCTCTGCTCTATGCCTAGAATAGCACACAGTGCTTGCATGATTTTCCCTGTGAAATGGGTACCTCTGTCTGACTCTAGAAGTCTAGGAAATCCCCATCTTGAGAAAATGTGTGTCCATAATGCTTCAGCCATTTTTTGTGAATCATCTTTAGTCAGAGGAATTACTTCTAACCATTTAGAGAATACATCCACAACTACTAATGCATATTTTAATCCATTCTTACCTGTTGGTAATGGCCCAATAAAATCAATTTGTAAAGTAGTCCAAGGACCATTTGCAGGTGCTATACGTTGTATAGGCGTTTTTTGTCCTTTAGGTCTGGGATTTATTTGTGCACATATCAAACATGATTGCACTACCTGTTGTACAGTCTTTTCCATGTTATCCCAATAAAACTTATCTCTGAGTACCTCTAACAGTTTCTGCTGTCCAATATGACCTAAACTTTCATGATTATATTGAGTAAATAACACTTTTATATGTTCTGGCATGACCGGACACAGTTCTCTGTTTTGGTCATGACACAAAACCCCGTTCTCATGAACAAATGGAGGTTTTGGATCAACCCGAGAAGCCGCAGGGGACGAATCCTTTGCCTGTTCTTCTGCAAAAGATGGAGGCTGTGTGTTAGTCTTTCTAGCCACTGCTACTGACATAGGCTCTGTCTGCAATGCATTTTCAACAGTTAAAGCTGCTCTTTTTGCAAATTTATCAGCTATCTCATTTTCTTCACTAAGTAAATCTTTACCTTTTTGATGGGCAGGAACTTTAACTATAGCATGTAAACATGGCTCTTGAGACGCAATTCCAAATATGGTCTCTAGTGTCTCTTTGTGTGCTAACACTTTATTTGAGGCATCTACGAACCCTCTTCTTTTCCATATAGCTAAATGTTCTGTTAGTGATCTAACCACATATGAACTATCACTATATACAGGGCCGGACTGGCCCACCGGGATACCGGGAAATTTCCCGGTGGGCCGCGGCACCTGGGGGCCGGCCGCGTTCCTGGGCCGGCCCTTTAAATACTGCAGCCGCCTGAGCGCTCTGTGAAGAGCCTCAGGCGGCTGCAGCTTCTCCCCTCCCCTCCCTCCCCTGTAGCGTGGCCGAGCTGCACTCCGGTCCGCGGTGGCCGGCCGGAGTGATAGGAAGGTGCACACTGAGTGTGCACTTCCTGTCAGTCCGGCCGGTTACAGGAAACAGAAACCCCGCGCGGAACAGGAGTTTCTGT